AGCTACAGGATATGGGCAATCGTTACAGATGCTAAGTCTTACCCAGGTCCTGCTTATAGTTCCATTTCCGTGGCTGTGATAAAAAACATGCTGACAAAAGAAGAAACTTGTGGGAGTACAGTACCGGGTGGCAGTCATCAAAGGGAGGTCAAGGCAGAACTCAAGCAGCAAGTCCCTCGCATCCAGTCAAAGAGCAGGACAGAAGGGGCGTGTGGGTCCTTGCTTGCTTCCTCTGTCCATCAGCACCCTCCTCTATGTGGTCATAGAATTCTTGCCTAGGGAATTACACCACCCACAGTAGGCTGGGTCTTCCTACATCCATTAAGTCAAGACAGCCTCCTACACACAAGCCTACAAGCCAACCTGATTTAGACAACCCCTCACTGAGACTCCCTAAGTTGGGTCAAATGAACAATAAATAAAAACTAACCAGCACAGGCGCCATCTCAAAATCACAACCTTGGTCATCTCTGGCTTCCTAACGAAAATGGCATTCACTATATGACTTAAACAACAAACACACATTTCTCACAGCTCTGGGGGATTGGAGCATCTGAGGCAAAGGTGTTGGCAGACATTCTGAGGTGATGTCTCACTTTCTGGCCTGCAGATGGCTAAATTATTGTTCTGTTCTCACTCGGGGCAGAGGAGAGGAGAGAGTGAGATGTCTTGAGGTGCCCTCTCCCTCCCTCTCTCTTTCTCTCCCTCCCTCCCTGTCTTTCTCTGCCTCCCTCCCTCCCTCCCTCCCTCCCAACTTCTCCCTACCTCCTCTTATAAAGGCACTAATCAATCCTGAAGGGCTCTGTGTCACAATCAAGTTACCTCTGTAAGTCCACACCCCTAAATACCAACACGTTAGGAATATTGGGGGATGGGTGATCTTAACTTATGAGTTTTAAGAGGAAACAAACCTTCAGTTTACAGCACAACCAGTCAGAATCTGTTTCTATGCAAGGTTTCCAAAAGTTAAGCCAACACAGCAGCAAAGCCTGAGTAGCCCTGCTTCTGAGGACTTGTCTTACTCATCTTCCCAGTGTTCCAAGACATGAGTAAAGACAGAGGCTCTTGTGTCAGAGGGAAGATTTACATGCTAGTAGGGCAGGGTCTCTTCTTATGGCATCCCCTGCAGCGAGGAGAATGGGCAGGAGAGAGGCCATGGCTTATGTCTTAGGGCAGCCACTGCGAGCATATCCTTGACCATGGTCTCAATACAGCAAACCATGAAACTGCTACAACAAAACTGCATATGTTTATACATCAGATAACCGTTAATTTCCACAGGTGACTAAGTTAATAATAGCTCTTAGGGAAAATAAAACAACCACTGTCATAAATGGACATTCCCACTTAGGGGTCATTTCAGAAACATTAAAACCACGTAAAACAACACAGTGCAAACAGAGCGGTGAGCCTCAAGGAGTCTGATGGGTAGAACAAAGAGGAAAAAACTGGCTTATCAGGAACATTGGTTCTCCGGATTTGGCTTATAAACTCCAGGCCCATGACACCCTATGAACCCTAATGGGCTCCCATGTTCCGTATTCCTCAGCTTGTCCTGAGAGAGAGTTTTCTTAATAACACACGGTCACGTGATTGGTAAGAATTAAACTCTGTTCTTAATTTTTGTTTTACAACTGATTCTATTTAAAAAGTCTATCATTTTCAAATCCATACATTGAAACTGGGGAAACAGTTTTTTTTTGTTATTATAGATTGATTCTTAATTACTATTATTATATGTTTAATCGGCATATCAAGTTGTACAAACTTATGGGGATTTGTGTGACATGTGGATACATGTATAGTTGTTTAATGTTTCTAATTCTGTAAACAGTCATGTTTTGTGGTAAAAACATGTAACATATTTTCTTTCATGTTGTTGGGGAAGTATACAGTGTATCATGACTGTGTACAGTTGCCTTCTAGCACACATTCCCACCAGACCTTATTTCTGCTCCCTACCTACCTGTAACACAACACCCACTGACTACCCTCTCTCTCCCAAAGTGTTATCCAAGTTTCTCAGCCTTCCTGTAGAATTTGTTTGAATTCTTTCCATGTGATTCTAGATCACTTGGCAATTAGAAGAGAAGATAGGTTCTGTTAAATTTAAAGGAACAAGTCGGGTATGTTCTTTATTTACACAGTCAGTCAGCAGATGTAAAGTTATAATACTAATACCCCACAGTAGAAGAATTTTAATGAGAAAATGAAGGAACCGTAGAACTGCAATTTTTCAGTGGGAGTATAATTGAGTCATAAATATTTGACAACCCTGTCTCTTTAAATAATACACGCATTGCATAATAAAAGACACACTGTATAGGGCTAGATGCGGACATATTACTAGATTGCATCATAAGAGACACGCTGCTGCACAGGGTTCGACACAGGCATGTTCCTAGAAATGACTGCACTGCATCCAACTTTGTTGTTTCCTCACACTGTTTCAGATTTTTCAGGTGCTTCCTACTGGTTTGAGGATGGAATTCAAGTCTGGCTTGTGGGTGCCGGTAGGGATATTTCAAGAGCCACGGTGTAAAGCATGGATATTGGTGTTCCCAGACACCGATCTCTCGCAAGCCACTGTCAGGTTTCATGTGTTGGCCTCATTGCCATCTTGTGTCACCGATCAGCCTAAACTGTGGTTCCTGACTTCATACGGAGTTGTGCAAGTGAATGTGGGGGTATGGAAAGCTCCGGCGGACAGTATATGGCTTCTCGAAATACAATGTCAAAATTAGTGTAAAAGTGAATGTGTGATAAATCTGGGATGATTCTGGCAGTGGTTGCTGGTGTTGAATCATACAACATCACTGCATCCTTGGTTCTGAACATGTAGGATGAACCCTTTGCACAGTTCATGATGCTCCAGATCATGTAACTGCAATGGGTGCTACATGAAATAACTTAACTATGGAGCGTTACGGACCTCAGTGCTTTTACTGTACGTACTAAAATTCACGCTTCCAGAAATGCAGTGATTTACTTATAAGACATGGAAACTTGGGGCCTGGTGGGATGGCTCAAGTATTAAGAGCACTGGCTGCTGTTCCTGAGGACCCTGGTTCAATTCCCAGCAACCACATGGCAGCTCACAAAAGTTCCACAGGTACCATCACCCTCTTTGGGGTCGGCAGACACTTGGGCAGAGACATACGTGAAGGCAAAAATTCTCAAAAACTAAAATTACTTTTCAATACTTTCCTATTGTCATTTCTCAGAATGCAAGTATCAGATTAATTTATCTTTAGATTACATTATGTTAGGATTTTGATTTTTAAAAACTGCTATTTGAACTGCTGTCTTAAATTGTGTGTGCACGTGCACACACACACACACACACACACACACACACAGAGCCATTACGTGAAATTTGGCTTGGAATTACAACAGAATTCTCCAAAACTTCTCAAATGGTCTTAACATGTTTCTGTCATTTTATACTACATATGTATATGAATCAGCATTAAATTTTGTTTGCTTTCTTAACTTTAGGGTTTGTTTGTTTATTTAAGAGGCAAAGGGTTACTAGGCTAGAGAGGCATCCCAGCATCACATTCTTGCAAACTGGATGCCTCTGGGTACCATCTTCCTCTTGAGATGCTGTTGCCTGAGGAAGACAGTTGGGAAGTCACCCCATCTGCCCTGTAGCTCACACTTCAATGTTCTTTATGCTTCTACTCATTTCTTGGTAGAGTTTTGTCCTTTCTCCTGCCCACAAGTATGAACATTGCTTACGTTTCCTTTTGTAAGAAATCACATATGTGCAAATCTCCAGCCACCTGCTGACTGTCCATGGGAAAGAACTTCACAGCACAGTTGTTATTTCATGCAGGACTGAAAGGTAAACACGGGTCAGCAGCAGAGCTGCCCACCAGGTTGGCACCTGCCTTTTATGAGTGACATGTCGTTCATATCATCAATCTCTCTCTCTAGTCTCAATCTTAGATTTGAACAAAATATTTTGGGCAACCTGAATTGGTTGTTGCCCTGTTTCTTCCTACTTGGCTCTTCCCTGTAAGATTAGCAACACCATCCCCAACAGATCCTAAACAATGGCATTCATCAGTGTGAGCACGCCTGGTACCCTCCAAGCTCCCTGCTTACCTCGGGCAGATTCCTCAGAGCTCAGTTCTTACACCCGTCCATCCTCCCTCCCTCGGATCACTGCTGCTTCCTTCCTTTAAAACTGCCCAATAAGACGCTGGCAAATAGACAAACCCTCCTCGTGTCTCCAACTGCCGGTCAGTACCCAAAGATTCCTTGAGTCCAATTCACCAGCTGCCTTACCCACCTGCAGCCCCACTGGCGTAGGGCTGGCAGACTCCCCTCCTCATGTCCTGCTCAGCCTGCCGAGTCCCAGCCGGTTTCCCCATCCAACTTCTCCACCCGAGGCAAGCTTGAGCCGAGGCCAGTCGGAGCTGAACCATCAGATTCAGAAATCCCTTATCAAATGGCTACAGCATTGGTCAGTAGAGCAGGGAGATGGAAACAGAGCCATGAGAGGGTTCAGCAGGGCTTTCGGAGACGGGGGACCTCCAGGGCCGCTCATTCGTCTCTTAGTCATTTTCTTTTACCTTTCCATTGAATACTTCATAGTTATTTTTTTCTCTCTCCAAAGGTGAAAATATTACAGTTGGAGTTTCATTTTGTGAATTTAAAGAGAATAAAAGGGGGCAAAAATAACCCCGAAGGTTTAACTATGGATAAAAATAGCCCGGTTGTCTTAAAGTCGCGAAGTGAACATAAGGGACCCTTTGTGATCGCAGGCTGTCTGGAAGCTGGCACCTGTCACCACCCTCTGTCCTCATCCAGAAGAGAGCCCGTCAGAGCGAGGGTTGCTTGCTTAATGGCACCTTGAGAGTAAGTGCTCCCCGTGCCCACCCAACCTGCCACTCTCCACAGCTGTCACTGAGGGGCTCCACTGGCCCCTGCATAAACAGGCCTGCCCGGCAGGACGCCCCGTAGGCGGGCCGTGTGTCATGTGGGCGGCTCACCTGGCTTTGCTGTGGCCGTTCCAGCATTCTTCCTCATTGGACGTGCCCGCTGTCACGCTCTCGTCCTTGCAGATGGTGTAGGGCAAGGCCGACCAGACCTTCTTAGAGAGCTTCAGCTTCTCCTTTATGTCAGTGACCTGGCCGGGAAACCAAGGAGAGACAGTTAGGCTTTGCGTGCCTCTCTGCGTAAGGACGGAACAGAGTGAAGGTGGCTGGCCTGTGATAAGAGACGTACAAACTACCCTTTTAAACAGAATGAAAGCAGGCTGGAAAGCCGATTGCCCAGGAAGACTCCAACCTGCACCTCCCTCCTGTCCCTCCCAGAGATGCTCAGGCTATTGGCTCCCCGCTTTTCCTCTTTTCCGTCCTGTCCCGTCCTTTGAATTGTGTCCTGCCTGGTTTGGGGCCACTCTATTGCAGAGAGTACCTATTGCAAAACACCCTAAATGCATGCTTTAGAATATGTTTCCCCAGTGCCAGATAAATGTTCCGAAGCAATGCACAAACAGACACATTTCCCAGCGGACTATCTGTTTCTGCAAGAAGTAAATGTTGCCGCTAGCTCATCTGCTGATGTCTTCCACTCTAGTCCAGACGACAGGCTCATACAGAACGCATTTGGATGTGAACAGTGAACTCCATCCACCTCAAAATTTCTAGCATGGAAAGGCAACGGTCAATCCAAATACGAGCGTCGATGTGGCTCTGAAAGAGGCAGGAGGTCTCGGTACCAGTGTCTAAGGCGTTTTCAGCTTAGTACTTACTTCCAACCTGTGGGGATGGAGGGGCAAGGATTTGATGCCCTTGTGACTCCGTCATAAACACCCATTTCCATTCATTTCAAGCCGCCAGTGTCCTGACTGTTGAGCCACGATTTACGAACACGGATAGGTAGACGGATACGATGTACCAGTTACAGTTTGCACTGGGTACCCACAAGTTAGTCCTGACCCAAAACACCATAGTTTAGAGATGGGGCCTTGACAGATGTCAGGAAGTCAAAGTGAGTCCGTTCAGATAGTCTCAAAGTCAGGAAGGCTGGATGGAAGATGGGGACCAAAAGGGGAGAATGAAATGAAAATGTAACCGGGGATGAAGATGACCGTCTAGCGACCCCACCCATCCTTTCTGAAAGCCTCAGAAGGAGATGAGGCTGCAGACACCTTGACATGGGACTTCTTGTCTCTCTGGCTCTCAGTCAGACTCAGACTCGATGCCACGTGCAGCCAAGAGTCCGTCTGACACACTTGGTCCTCCCCACATTTTAGCCAGCAGCTTCCGTTGCCTCCTCTCATCTCTATGGCTTTGTGGGATAGGGGCAGGTTTGGAAATTTTCTCATCCTCAGTAGCTGGAAATGATTGGACGACCATTCACCCCAGCTTTTGACTCGGGGAACTCAGAATTCTGACTTATAGAGAAAAAACCTGATAAAGCCAGGACGATTTCGTGACATGTCTTCACATACTGTATTGGAAAATGTCCACCAAGATATTAGTTTAAATTACCCCATCTTGCTATGTGTTCATAGACAATATTGCAAACGCTACATAAATGAAGAGGTCATGATAATGAGTGTCCTGCGAGTCATGACGGCTGCAGCGAGCCTTGGGACTGCCACTGGCCGTGTAAGGAGCCCCTCGTGAGGACTAGCTCTCTCCTGACTGCTCACTGTACCACATCTTATAACCAGGGCATGTTCTCCCTGGCATTTCGGGAGCTATACCTTCTCATTGTACAAGATAACAGCAAAGGAGCAATAAGAAATGTAAATGCTGTTTTAACATTCTGCACCAACACCAGGCGATTCACTAGCAGACTGCAAAGGTAAGAGGCAGACAGTTGAAGAAATGGATGCTGTTAGCCACTGGGCAGGAACAGGCCCGTGATTTTAAAGTATACTGGAATGGCGGGAGTTTATTTCCGGTTTCAGGGAAGTTTTTCAGCTCTCACATTGTTTGGAAATACTTATCTACTCCTACTTGCTATTTTGATTTCTGAATTACAGATATGAGCACTTTGCAATAGTCCCAGACTTGAGCTTTCTGTTTTGTTTTCTTGGCACTTAAGGGCCTGTCACTGTAAGCAAAGCGTTACATTACAAATACTCCAGAACAAATGTATTATGGATGGCTACATCAGTCTGATTCATTATACAGCACAAACTCAAAGGAAACAGAGGGTCTTTATAACAGTTCCCTTTCTTTCCTTGTATCCCAGATGGGTTACGCTAGGGTACATGCATCACCACACTGGTTAGTACTGTTGGTTCAGCATTATAGGAAAAATACTGTCATTACAGCACTGTTTGCAATGGAGAAGTAGGAAGGTTTTTCTCCTATTTTATTGGCATTCTGAAAAATATACTTGTTATTGTTAGTGTTCAGGCATCTGTGCTGGCCTTCCCTTGGGGTTCTGACAGGACTCGCCCTCAGCTGCAGCCACTAAGAGCACCACCTGTGCACATTCACTACGTTCCCTTTTAAAGGGCCCCGCCTTTCTCTCTCTCCCTCTCCCCTCTCTCCTTTTCTCTCCCTCTCTCACACTTTTGTCCCCAAGGACAGATCAGTGTCTGCCCCCTTTCTGTGCCCTTTTCTGTCCCTTCTCTCTCCTCTTCCAGTTAACCTCCTATGTGAGTCCTGTTGTATGCTGCAACTTCTCTTCATGGCATTTTAAAAATTGCAACAGTTGCTCCACAGGAACTTGATCCAAACATACACAGTTGGGGCTCACAGAGAAAACCCAGGCATCTTTTAGGACTTCTCTGGAGTTTGTTTTTTGACAATCTGACTACTGCCTTTCTAGAGCTGTATCCCTTAGCTGAAGGCCCATGGGAAAGTTCACAGGAAGCTGACTCCATGGGAAGCCAGTGGAACCCTTTCTTCTCTGCACCCTAGTGTAAGCCAGAAAATCACAGCAAAGGAAGCAAGGCCATGAGGTAGAATAACCACCAAAGCCAGACATGCGTGAAATCACAGGACAGAGAGGAAAGACATTAGCCCTCTTTACTTTGACAGCTCCACTCAGGAGATGAGCTCGCCTCCAATATTAAACTCAAATTTCATACGATTTCTGAGTTAACTCCAAATTTGCAGCAGGTACTAGGGATAGAGGAACAAACTGAGCAAGGCCATAAATAAATGATCAGACACATCCAGTGAATGAGACATTATATGAGACAACTGGACTCAAATGCTCAAAAGAATGCAAGCAAATAAATAAATCAATAAAGGCAGGAAGACTTCTGTAGATGAGAAGAAACTCTATGAAACACGCCAACCAAATGTCTCGACCCGAGATCTGGAGGCAGGCGCCCGGTTTCAAAAGAGAGTTTGGAGATAATGCTGCAATTCTGAATGTAGGACAGACACTAGTTGATTATATTGAATTAAGTTTCTCAAGGTGCTGTGAGGGGTTCTCTCTTAGGTGGCTCATGCTGAGATATTTAGGGATAAAATGTCCTTATGACCTTTACTTATTTGAAAAGAGAACACTAAACTAAGGCCTTCAGTCATGATTGAATCCAGTAGTGGAGTTTACCAATGCTGACCTTACTGATCTTTTTGAGGCATTTCAGAAATGTTTAAAAAAAATGACAAAACACTGTGTGTGTGTGTGTGTGTGTGTGTGTGTGTGTGTGTGTGAGTGTGTGTGTGTGTGGTGGGTAATGATGTATTGTTAGGAGTCTACCTAGAAGTTACTGGCTCACAGTGTGGGATGACCAACTCTCACAGGAGGGAGCTAAGTCACTTAAATTCACTCTTCACAGCTCTGTCTCGCTGAACTATCCATGCCGCACCATTTGCACAACAGGGACACACAGGTCTCCAGCAGCTAGGACATCTTGTCATCTATCTAGTAAATGGTAGAGATGAGTCGTGGTTTCAGACGTAGACTGAGTAGTTATTCTTAACTACCAGGCTCACAGCATCGTTGCTGACAGTCCTGGCTTCAAAGCCTGAGGCACTGGGTGACACTCCTATGCATATGTCTGTGGATGCAGACACGACTCACTGTGCTCAGGGTGAACACATGGACGCTCCTGTTTCTACTTTTAAAATATAAAAATGTAAGAGGAATTATGCTTTCCTAATATTCTGTGTAGTGATTAATATTGCAGCCAGGCCATATGGAGATGACATTTTCCAGTTGTGAGATGGAACGGAGAAAGTCTTCCACAGCAGTGCATGTGTAGGCCCATGCATGTGTAGATGAGATCCTGTGGTTTTCATCAACGTCTTCAATGCAATAGTGAGCCAAAATATGTTTTGAAGAGAAAGTTTGAATTTCTTTTAAACAATGAAAGCACACAAGAACTTTCACTGAAATGGTTGGTTGAATGCATCACTGTTCTCTTGGTAATACATTTGTCCTAAGATCTTTGTGGATGTCTCAAGCGATGCATAAGTCCTATGTTTTTCTTTTAAACCTCCACATGCATGCCTATGATAAATCTTAACTTGTAAATTATTCATTTTAAGAACTGATAATAACTAATAACAAAAAGGAACAATTACAGCTGCATATTATAATGGAAGTTAGGATAGTAATATTTCTCTACAAGCATCTTCCTGTCATGGACTGCCTTCCCCTCTCTTCATGAGGCAGAAGTGATGTAACACCAGCATTAAGAGGTGAAGGATATACGTGTTCTGTAGTCTTGCGCTCCTGTGGTGTTTTTCATGGTGCATGAGAAGTAGCTTCTGTTGTGAGTGTTGTGTGATTTCAGTTATTAGAATGTACCATCAGATACTGGATGACAGATGTTTGCTGTCTTAGGTAAGAGGGACCAGCACAGTGTGACTGATGGTCATCACCCCACTCAGAAAGGTGTGCAACTCAAAACTTAACAATTTCTTATATCTGAAATTTCCCATTTAATATTTCCAAAACATAATCAGCTGTTGTTAACTGACTTCATAGAAAGTGAGGTCATGGATAACTGGAACTACATTTTTTTGTCCTATGGGTATAGGTCTTTTATCTGCGTGCGTTTCTGTGTACTTGCTGTCCATGGAGGCCAGAAGAGAGCATCAGATCCTCTGGGGCTGGAGTCACAGAGTGCTGTGAGCCACCATGTGGGTGCCGGGAGGGAACTGAACCTGGGTCCTTTGGAAGAGCAAGCAGTGCTCTTAACCG